CCGCATAACGCAGATTGTTGATGAATCTTCCACCAATCCTGACACAACACTTCTCCTCATAGAGCCCAGCCTCCTGGATAATCTGTTCTGCATACAGCTTGATTTCTATCTCTTTTCCATGAACCATGATGTTGCCTATGGTGAAAATTTTAATTTTCTTGATGTTGAAATATAATCCACATTGAAGGCTGTAGTCTTTGATCTCCTACAGCAAGTATTTCAACTCTTTCTCACTTTCAGTAAAACTGAGTCATCTACATAATGCAGGTTATGAGTCTTCATCTAATCTTGATGTCATATTCTTCTACGTAAAGTCCAGCTTCTTGAATGATTTGCTCAGCGTACACAGTGAACAGGTATGGATAAAGGATACAATCTTATATACACCTTTCCTGATTTTAAAACATGTAGTGTTCCCTTGCTCTGTTTGAACAATAGCTTCTTGGTCTAGATACAGGTTTTGCATGAGCACAATTAAGTGTTCTGTGATTCCATCCAATATGATAAAGCAGGCAACAAAACACCAGTCTCTGCTCAACTGTTAACTTTACAATTAATTGGCAGCTCAAACCCATCGGGTGGTGCTGTGAATGATCTGCTGATTCTAAGAGTACTGTTGTTTCTGAACCCTTTGAGTTGATTCCAACTCATGGTGATCCATATGTGCAGAGAACAACTGTCCCACAGAAATTTCAAGGCTATACTCTTCAAAAGCAGACTGACTGCCAGGCCTATCTTTCAAAGTATACCTCTGGATGCTTACAAGCTGCTAATCTTCCAGCTAATAGTTGGGTACTTAATGATTTAGAGCATTTGAGGACTTGCTGTTAAGATAACCAAGCAAGCCTGAGGGTTGCCATGGCTGAAATCAGCTTAATGACAACTTAAAAAACAACAGAACATGAAACCGATAGAGAATTACTGAAGAGACTATTAAAAATAGAATTTTCTATTTAATACAATAAAAAACAAAAAGAGGCTTATCATCAAGGATTTAAATTTTTTTTAATTAGGTATTTTTATTCTAAATGTTTCAAAAATATTTAGACTGAAGCCAAGAATATTATTCTATAACATTTTCAAGACACATCAAATTCAGAGAAATATTTTTCAAACAGGTTTTTTTTTTCTTTTTTTCAAACAGGTTTAAACAGAAAACAAAATTACTTTGGTAGATGTATTCTGAATATTGCTTTCAAGAGATTCTATAAACATTAAGACAAGTATGTCACTCCCACTTCAAATACCTGTCCAGGTAAAATATCAAGTTATTCCACCTAGCCAAGCTCAAACCAATAACCTCTGATAGAGAGGATTGTGCTTCAGGGTGATTTCAAGGATAGTGACTCTGCATAATTATTTATTATTCCCACATTTAACTTTCCCTATTCATCAAGAGCATTTTTGGCTTTTTTTTTTTAATTCTCTCTGTATCAATTATTGTGAAGGAGAACTGATGCCTTTGAGCTGTGTTGCTGGAGAAGAGTATTGAATATACCATGGACTGCTAAGAGAATGAACAGGTTCTTCCAAGAGAGGATGAAACCAGGCTGCCCCTTGGAGGCAAGGGTTCTGAAGCTTCGCCTGGTATACTTTGGACACGCTGCAAGGCAGGACCAGTCCTTGGAGAGGGATGTCATGCTTGGAAGGGTGGAGAGACAGTGCAAAAGAGGAAGACCCTCTATGAGATGGACTGATTCAGTGACTCAGGTAATGGGGTAGGTGTGTCAGAGACAATAAGATTGGCACAGGATAGAGCAGGGTTCAGGGCTGTTGTATGTAGGGTCACTATGAGTTGCAGGCAACTCAACAGCACATAACAACAACAACAATATAGACATAGCTTAAAATGTTTTAAGAAAAGCACATGGTTTCTTAAGCTTTGTTATTTGGAGATACATCTTCTTGTCTGTCAAAGAATGACACTAAACTTCATAAAAGTTAAAATACATACAAATATAATTACTTACTAAAATATACTGTCAATATTTCTAAGGTAGCAATTCTTGTCTGTCTTGTGATTGATGTAGCTTTCACTATGTATGAATCTGGGGTATAAAGAAGCTTGGCTACTGATTATGGATGAGACCCCAAAACAAATATGGCAGCCCAAAACCAGCAAACTTAACAGAGCTGATGAAATTTCAACTACTACATGTTAATAATCTACCAAAAACTTTAAAGAGATGAAATAGGACATATATAAAAAAAAAAGAATTACATATTCATACACATAAATGAGTTTACTGAAAATATGAAACTTACCAGTCATGGATGGTGCCTCTTTTCTTTGCCCTTTATCATCCACAGTCCCTTCATATGCCACTGTTATATCATAAATTGCATCCAAATAATTCTTCATAGAATCAAAAGCAACATGAGTTGCCTTTACGCGTGGTGTCAGCACATGTTTTAATACTGCAAAGCCTAGAAAAGAAGTTGGTTCAGTGTGGCTATAAATTAGTTACAAAACATCTGTACAACAGAGTAATAGACATTTTCCACAACCAGGAGAGGATTGCACTGATGAGCGAAACCTTTTTTTAAAAAAAACAAAAAAC